CTGGGCAAGGAATTGTTCCTCAGCTCCAGCTAAACCTGCCCTGGTGCAGCTTGAGGCCGGTTCCTCTTGTCCCATCCCTTGTTCCTTGGGAGCAGAGACCAGCCCCCTCCTGGCTCCATCCTCCTGTCAGGCAGTTGCAGAGAGCGATCAGGTCCCCCCTGAGCCTTCTCTTCTCCACATTAAACCCCCAGGTCCCTCAGCCCTTCCCCACCACACTTGTGCTCCAGGCCCTGCTCCAGCTCCGGTGCCTTCTCTGGCCCCGCTCCAGCACCCGTTTCTCAAGATGCTGAGAGGAAGCAGGGAACCCACCTGTACACTCATTACATCAAATACTGTAACCAACTACAAAAGATGTGTAGAAAATTACTCTTGATTTTTTAATTATTTTTTAATAAATTGCCTTTGACCAGGATATGGTCTGACTGCAAAATCCAACACTCGTGAACTGACACCACCACCCCAGCACTGTCTGGGATCATGACAAAATCCAGTGTAGGGATAAAAACCCCAACACCACACCACAGAACAAAGCAACAACAAAACACACACCTTAACTGCTTTGCCGTCATTACTGTAGCACTGACACACAGACCAATTTAACTGTAGAAGAATCCCCATTTGATGTTGCCAGCAGACAAAACAAACTACCATTCATTGTACAACAGCACTGGTAAGAAACACCCTGTAGCTGTTAGTAGATAATGGACCATCATCATTTTTCTATGTTACTTCAAAACAAAACCCCCACGTACGTCTCTTCCTACACAGATCTCACTGATTTACTTATATAAAACTTGGTAGGAGAGTATAACTAATTCACACCACAGTTAAATACTTTTCTCAGAGGTGTTATCTGTGAATAGGATGAAAATACTTAGATTCTCAAAGACAGTCATGGAATTTACCCTCACTGTTTGCTGAGGTGCTGGACATGCCCCATTTCATTGTGCAAAATGAAGGTTCATCTCTTAACTTGTTCTTCTCTGATTCAGTTTCAGTGCAGTAAGATCACCACACTCACCCCTCCAAGTCCATGTGACAGATGTAGGTGACACTCATGTCCTTAGAAATGAAACTGCAACTAAACAGAGTAAGGGCCTGATCAAAACTACTCTGAATTTGGCACTATTTGAAATGTAAATTTTCAGATACAGATTTTGTCATGTCAGGAAGATAAGTTTGTATCCTTTTTGCCAGCACCTCAGCAGCCTGTGCCAAGGCTATTTACTGCTTCAAATTTAATGGGCACAAGAAATCGTTTTATAAGAAAGGCCTCAGCATTAGCAAGAAAGATGATGATCAATCTGCAAATCACCCTTTTAGTTTGGGACTCCCTCCACAAACACTGTGACCTATAAAAGGACTGAAAATGGAAGAAAAATAATCTATTTAATAGAGTTTCACCTAAATACTATTGAAATTCATTAATTTTTGAGTATCCTTTTAAACACTGCTTGGATTTTCTCCTCTTCTGTCCTCCGACAGGGGTGTGTATGGGGTGTTGCTTACAGATTGCCACCTGGACAAGAATGTGAAGTGAAGGCATACTTGGACTTCAGAGAGAAAGGAGGCTACAGGACTACAAATGTCATTTTCTACCCCAAAGACTCCTCAGTAAAGCCATTTGATGTCCTGCTCTACATTGGCACGTGTGATAACCCTAACTACCTTGGTCCTGCTCCTCTGGAGGAGATTGCAGAACAGATTCTGAACGCTGTTGGTCCTAGTGGAAGAAACACAGAATACCTGTTTGAACTTGCCAGTTCCATCAGAAACCTCGTACCAGAGGATGTAGATGAGCATCTCTTCTCCTTAGAGACACTAGTAAGGAAACTCTTGGAAAAGCATCAAAACCTCAACAGTCTATAAAATAGTTTATTTCTTTTAGTGATCTTGCTTCACCTTCAGAGGACTGGTTTCATTGTACAATGGGTATATGACGTGGAGGCATATCCAAAGTACATATTTCTCTGTACTATGCTATCTTATTTTACTATCCAAAATAGTAGTTTGTCATTAAAACACATCATTACAAGAAAGTAATTCTTTCAGGAGTCAATAGGAAGAGGAGCAGAGGAAGTGTTTTAGGTTTGAATTTGGTATATTGGGGTTTTATCCAAAGACTACATCTTTCGGAAAAGCTCAAGAGAACTCTTTGTTTGACAGTTCTCTTTGTTTGAAGATTTTAATTATTATTTCAGGTTTAAAAGAAATATTTAGAGTACTTTTAAGATGTAAGTCCGCATTTAGATCAACTCCCATTGATTTAAGTGATGGTTCTTTCTGATTCCAGAGCAAAGCTCCGCACAGCTAAAGTCATAAAAGTTAAGTAATAGCTGTAAATTGCATAGTAAATGCACAGTAGAACATTTACCTCATCAAACTTCAGCTTCACTGAAATGAAGTTATTCCACTGGATTAGTCACCTTACCCTTTACATATTAGTTTGTCCTTAAGCACAGAGGATAAACCATGTCATTGTCAAGGAAATACTTCTTTCCCTTGGCTCTTGTCAAGCCCCTGAAAGCCAAAGCACAGGAGACTCAGACATAAAATAGCCATAACGTATCAGTGCCTCATTTTAGTTTTTAATATAAAGAATAAAGCCAAAACGTGAAAGTGTAGAGTATGACTTGAAGTCCCAATGCAGCAAGTACATTCAGAAACTTCATCTTCGTTACCTGCCTTCAGATACTGTCATAACCCATCTCTTAAAGAAATCACCATGTCTGAGAGTAGACTTTAAGCCAGTGCTTTTCAGCTGCTGTTTCAGAGATTCATGGACAAAAGGTACTTAAGAAAGGAACCCTCTTTTCATTGTGTTGTACAGGCATCCATAGGAAGAGGGTTGGAAAGCCACCAGTTCAGGCTGGCAGGTTTACTTCATGCAAAACATAAGCAAATGGAGTTTCCATCCAACACGGCCTTGTTTTGCTTCTCAGAAATCCAAGTTAGTTTTGTTCATTTTAACAAAGTATATTTTTGTATGTTAATATAGGAAAGGTTCTGTTTCAAACACCATGTAACATCACATGTTCTCACACAGAGGATGTGTAAGTGTTTAGTAGTAGCTTGGAAGCCTGTATTTTGCATCAACGATTGCAAACCTTGTATGTTTCTACTATACAGGTTGTCCCTTTCTCTTCTTTTTATTTTCTTGGTTTATATTTGTAATTGCTTGAAAATACCAAGGTTGTCAGAATAAGAAACTACTATACTTTTACTTGGCCACCTACAAAAGCCAGCAAGAACATATATGAATATTAATAGGAAATATTTGGGAAAGGCAGCTGGATGAGTAGAAAATAGGATCTTAAAACCTAAATTTGAGATAATTAGACTAGTTACGGTATTTAACCAAAAAGCTGTGTTTTTAACATACCAGATTGTGATTTTAGGGTGTCTCTGGCATCTCTCAAGCACTGATTCATTGGGGGGGGGGGGAAATACTAGTTTTTTGGAAGCTACTGTTCACTATTAATAGGGTACCTGATGGGGTATCACTTGATGGGCTACTCTACACTGCAGAAGCAAATCCTCTGACTGTATTGGCAAAGTAATTCTATGTACTGAGCCCCCATATTTCCGTTAGGATACAAGTTACTTGCAAACTGATGGAATAGCCTTTGAAGGTCTTGATTCTCCCCTGCACTGTGCTGGTTTAAGGTTGATATAACTGAGTAGAAAAGCAACCCCAGCTCAATCAGTGGTATAGCAGGAGAGGAGCAGGGTCAGAACTTCCAGGTTGATAGTCCTCAAGATTCTCAAAGCTGGAGCTGAGTGACTTCATGCACCAAAGCTGGACAGTGAAAACCCCATCACCCAAATCGGCGTTAATGAACATGCTCCTTTACATGTGTATTTATTCACCTGGACTTAAGGAGTAACTCTTAAGTGTTGCTGGATACTTAACTGTTACTAAAATGTTACCTATTATTTATTTCAAGGATATTTAAGTGTTGAATAGTACCCTCAAAAAACCCCAACCAACAGCAGCACTTCCTTTCTTGTGTTTACTTCAGATTTAAGCAAGCCGTAGTAAAGTTAACACACATACAATGGCACACCCACTCTTAAAATTCTTTCCTCAAAGACTTATCCTTGTTCCTTAAAATGGGGCAGGCGATGCTTCCACTCACTTTGATCCCAAAACATCAGTGATGATTCCCTCCTTAAAACTCTAATCATTTAAGAACTGTGTTGGGGTATTGTGATTATGTATGGCTCTACATTCTGCATTGTTAATTACATTATTGGTTCATTTCCTTTCCTGACTTAGAAGACTTGCAACAATATCTGTAACAAAACATTCCAGTTTGTGCATACAACTTCAGTACAATAAAAATGCATCTCATTTACTAATGGTGTTGGAGAAAGATTCCAGAACTTATGTTTATTTAGAGTGTATCCACAGTAGGATGGACATCACTGTGTGTTTTAATTCATCTTGTTAGAAAGTGCTGTTAGGTCTAATGATGAAAAACAACATACAAGAGCTGGCTACTATTAGGCAGTCTGGAACCGTGTCAGCATTAGGGGTTAATTACAGCACTGGAATTACACTTCTGTTCTTGCTGTGAGGAGTTTGAGCCACTTTGCCCACAGCTTCAATCCCCAACAAAAGCCCAGTCTGCTTTCAGGTCTGTTGCTCACCACAAGAAAAAAAATTAACATTCACTTTTTATGTGCCGTAAATGCTGAATTTTCTCACTAAATCTAAATTTGTGGCAAATTATAGATATTTTAGGTAAGTTTTCATTGTAAAGCCACACACACAAAGTTACCCCTAAACTTGCTTCTAAACAATTTCTAAAGCCATTTGTAAGAAAAGGAACTTGCTCAGCAGTTGGTCAAGATAAACCCTCCCTGTGATGCTGAAACGGGTTACCACTGAGCAGTACAAACACTGAAGTAGCTGTGAATTCTCTTGGAATCTCCCAAATAAATGAATATATGAATCTATAACCTGAATATGCAACATTTTACTTCCTTTTTGTGTCTAGCTTTGATAATAAGCCTGCTTCATATCCATTGTGACTGAACTAACAAAATTAATGTGCCATCTGACTTAAACATGAAACTTCTGTAAGCAGATTTGCATTTGTTAATGCAAGAAAACTCATGGAGAAGGCAAATCAAACCATTCTGTAACTACCAGATGCTTTGCAGGATCCCCAGTATGATCTCTGTCTTTCCTTCTTCAACCATTTATCTGCTCCATGCTACTCATAGATGAGCAAACAACAAACCTCAGATGGGACTGGTTTAACCTGTTCCAATTTGGAAACTGTGCTGGACATTCAGGTATACATGTATATATCTATCTATATATAGATACACAGAGAGGACCCTTAGAGTTCTTATTTTATACACATACACCTCCGTTTGCTTTTATCCATTGGTGATGTTTAACAGCTTTGTGCATAAACTAATTCCTAAAGACCAGACTCTTGCTAGATAAGGCTGCTCTCTAGAAACTAAAATCTGATGACAGTCCTTCACGGAGATAACTAAAGTGCAGTTCAGACCCACAGAACAATGCAGTGTTTGGTAATTGTTAAATCACTTTAATACACTCAGTAAAACAATCTGCAGCACAAATGCAGGAATAACTGTGTCATGCTGCAGTTCTTTAGCAGCTGACAGGAAAACTTCCAGTCTTAACAGAAGCTCTCAAGTCTGAACAGGCAACGGCAAGAAGCATAAGGAGAAAAAAGTACTTGTTTGCTCAAAATATTATGCATAACTTGTCCCTTACAAGCAGGAAAAGCCCCAACAAACAAAAACATTTTGAACGCCACTTGCCCTTAAAACCTAAAGAAACAAATTTGATTGCAGCATTTCCCATGAGTATTCTATCACTATTTTATATCACCATTTCCTGAAGTTTGACGTGTTTAACTCCAATTTGTATTCCCTCTTTCTGGTAAGCATGCGGATACAGGCTTCACACAAGCTAAGGAGGGGAAGACCTTGAACAAACCCGACTGCTACAGCTCCCCCACCCGATCTATTCCTGTATGTCTGCTCTGTGTAACACACACGCTGTTAGGAAGTGGTTTGCCACTCTGTTCAGCCACGCTACTGAGTAGCAGAGGGGATGCAAGCAGGCAGGAGAAGAGCAAGCCCTGTATCTTGACTTAGTACTGTGTAAAGATAACTGTCACAAGATTAGAAACTGCTTTTTCCAAGAAATTAGGCTTCTCTATCAGTCTTCTACAAGAGCTGAACATTGACTACGCTCACTTTGACTACCAACTGCAGTATAACCCCAATTATTCCAGCTTCACAAGCTCTCAGTATTCCTACATTAATTTTCTTGCTCCTCTGGCTTTTTATTCAAGCAGCTTCCCTTTAACTGTTGCCCTCCCTTGTCTCAAACAAAGGTCTTGCCTGCATCCTACTGGCCTTTTGCAGCTTAGGTCTCTTCTCAGCAGGTGTTCTAGCACTTTCCCCAAATTGTGCATGTCCTTGAGCTGGAAGAGGAATTTGCTCCCAGCTGTATCTACTTTGGCACCAGTTTAACCAGGAAAAAAAAACCCCATTACACCCTTCAACAAGAAAATTACATCAGAAAAGCCCAAAAATATTAATTAGATCAAATGCAGCCATTTAACAAAGTTTTGAGCTACCTCACACATATTAAACCTATCTGGAAATTGTTCTTCTGATCAGGCCAACCTGACCAGAAGAACAGAAGTCAACCAAGGGATTACAAACTATTTACTTAACAGTTCAGACTCAGTTTAGAATGTAAGCATCAAACTGCTACGAGAAGCCTAGAACAAAACATCGTAAACCAAACCACCTCAATTTACCACACAGCATCTAGAGTTACCTTTCTCCACCACCACTGGGATTTTTTCCTGGTGCC